TGTGTATGTGTGTGAGAGTGTGTGTGTGTGTGAGTGTGTGTGTGTTGATGATGGGGAACTTGTACCCTTTTGTATGTCTACCCAATCCATCTTCAGTAAGCACTGCTTCCTATCACAATAGATTGGTGTGTAAGTTAATTTTCTTGTTACCATGAAAAGAAAAAAAAAACAGACAAGAAGAAGCAATTTAAGGGAGGGTTTGTTTGGAATCACAGCTAAAAGAAATACAGTGTATCCTGGCAGCAGGAGCTGAGGGCAGCTGGTCACACTGAATCTGTAATCAGGAAGCAGAGTGTGACAGGAAGTGGTGCTTGGCTATAAAACCTGAAGGCACAACCTCAGTGACTCACTTCCTCTAATGAGGCTCCACCTTCTAAAAGTTCCTCTCCTTTCCCAAACAGTTCAAACACCAGAGCCTATAGGGAATATTTCACACCCAAACCTCAATGAATCATTTCTATTTTCTAGATTACTTTACAGAGGAAAAATACACCAGATACACAATTTGCCTGGGTTCTCTTAACCATTGTGTTTTGTGGTTCATTCATATTGCTGCTCAACCAATAGGTAGTTATTTTTATTCATGGGTATTACTCCGTTATACAAATATACTGATTTGTTTTCCATTCATTTCCTGGTGAATTGACGGGGAAGCCCTTCTATATATATATTTCTCTTATTAGTTGATGAATAAAACACTGTTGGCCAATAAGGCAAGAAGATACGTAGCACTAGGAGATGAGGAGAATTCTGGGAAAGGTAAGCAGAGAAAGCCCATCAGAGTCAGTCACCATGTAAGCTACCAAAGAGTAACAGGTCCGGGCATTCTCTGATAAGCCAAGACCACATGAAAATACATAGATTAATAGAAATGGGTTAATAATTAAGACAGAGCTAGCCAATAAGAAGCTCTAGCCACTGGCCAACAGTTTTATAACTAATAGAGCATCCATGTGCTCATTTGGGGCTGAAGGGCCTTGGGACCAGCCAGGACAAAGAACCACTTGTTACAGAGAATATTTTGTTGTCCCTATGCACACTGCTTGCTCTGCTTCTCCAGGCCTCCCTGTGTCAATCACTCTGCCCTCTGCAGAAGTGTGACTCCTTGGAAGGCTTTTTATGCACATGACTTCACTGGAGCAGGAAGCATCACTCAGCGTGAGGGAGCTCCCAGGAAACTATGGTATGTAAATGTGTCAATCTCTAAATTTGAAAAAGTTCATTACTTCTTCAATAACATTTCCCCCCAATTTTTCTCCTGCTCTCATTGACTTTTTCTACTGACAATGTATCGTCATCTGAAAACCAGGGCTGCATTCTGATTCCTGCTAACTAACCTCCTCCTGCTAAAAACGTTTCAGTTCAGAATTCTATTTTGAAAAAAAAAAAAGGACACACACACACACACACACACACACACACACACACACACGAAGATAGTCAGGCATTGTAGTGAATGCATTTAACCCCAGCATTTGGGAGGCAGAGGCAAGCAAATCTTGGTGAATTTAAAACCAGCCTGGTCTACAAAGTGAGTTCCAAGACAGTCAGGGCTGTCACACAGAGAAACCCTGAAAAAAAAATTAAGAAATGCAGCCCTTCCCCACCCCTAGGAACTCACTTTCTGTAGTATTCACAGGAGCCATCATAGAATAAGGAGAAAAAACAGACCAGAAACTTTTTGATTCTTTTGTCTGGCTCCTTGTGTATGAACTTGAAAGTTTCCATCCTATGAAAAGCTGCACCTCTCACGTTCCTGCCGTGCCCTCTGCTGTGTGTGCATAAATGCTCCCCCATCCAGCAGTGTAGTATTAGTGGCAAAGGGAATATCAGCAGCCACTCTCCACCCCTTCCAGATGAGGACACGGAAGACAGAAGGAAAAACAGTATTCCTATAATGGGCTAATGCCAAGCTTCTTAAGCTACGGTTGGCAGCTCCAACAGGACTGTACCTGAAATATGGTGTCTCCAAAAGTTTGGCAACAGAAAAAGGTTTCTGAATGCACCACAACCAAAATTTAATTCAAAATCAAAAGTATGATTTCTCCAAGACATATCTAGCAGTGCTTGTGTGTTGTAGTGTATGCTTTGACTGCAGCCTGGGTTATAAACCGTCAACATGTACAATCTGTTCTGCACATGCCACAGCATGCAAGCCAATATGCATGGGCTGAAACACCTTGGCGCAGATGTGGGACTGTTGCATGTTATGGATTTCCCCCATGCATAGGAGCCTTTCTACTTTTATTAAAATACAATGATTTAATTACAGAAAACAAAGACCTTTCATATTTTTCTACCAACATTTCTCCACATGTATTAAGTGAGTGTATCTTTTGATTATACTGGATTAGATTTTTAAAATTGCTATTTGAGTTGCTTACTTGAATTTCATTAAAAATGTTAAATGAATTTTGGCTTTGGATTGGGACATAATTTCCAGCAATTTGAGACATGGGCTGCTTCTTCCATATTCTAGCGTAATTACACAAAGCAGCATTATCAGCTCTGACATCATAAAGTGAAAATCTCAGTCATCTCTGAAACATGTTAAAGATGTTCTCCATCCTGCAGTATAAAAATACCCAGCCAGAAGAATTTAATTCTTCATCTGAAAATAAACGTGTCTATCTGATTAGCATGCAATTTTGACTTTAATAGATGGTGGTAAAAACATATTTATAGCAAAGAATTGTTTTAAAATGAATTTGTCGTCTATTATAAGTAAGGTTTAATTTGTATACCTGTCTTACATACCTGTATATAAGTCGAATAAGAAGCTCCTCCAGCAAAGAGTGGTCATGAGCAGAAACCTCAGTACAGCATTGTGATTGAATCACTGTTCTCTAACACCAGGAAAAGTACCATTATGACACATTCTCCCACCCAACAATGGTTAACGGTCGGCAATACT